GATGTGTGTATGGATTGTGATAAGAGTTGTATGAGCCCCTAATAAAATGATTAAATTAAAAATAATAAAAAAAAGATCAACGCCTTTCGAGATGACAGTGAAGTGGGACAGAGCAAAGGGAGAGCTTGAATTATCATAGGGACCTCTGGAGTTAAGGACCAGGCCTTTCTACTGACATTGACTAATTATTAGCTGCATGCTTCCCCTCAGAAGGGATGTAAACTTGAGTGAGGTAGTTCTCTTCAGCCAAGGGCAAGGCCATCAACATTTCCAGCAGCTGGGTTAAACAGTATTTCAGTCCTGTAGAGTGAGGCTTGGGGATCTGGGCAACACACCACGGCATCCCCTACGCACTCTTAACCAATACTTCTCAAAGTTTTGCATGCAAACAAATCACCTGGGGATCTTAAGATTCAGATTCTATTGTGCTTGACACAATGGGTAGATGGATGGATTGTGATAAGTGCTGTACGAGCCCCAAATAAAATGATCTTTTTAAATGTAGATTCTAATTCAGTGTATTTTGAATGGGACCCAAGATTCTGATTGTCTAATAAGCTCCCAAGTGATACTGCTACTGCTGGTCCATGGACCACCCTTTGAGTTGCATGGCTCTAAATTCAGCTTGCCTCTCGTCTAACATGACTTTTCATTGAAATGCTCAAGTGAAAGTCAAGGTAATGGTGTGGATCATGGGATATATATGTATCCCAGCATCACTGAGTGAAGCTTTTCTGAGCCACCAGGTTCCTCATCGACATCTTCACATCCTTATTCCTCAGACTATAGATGATAGGGTTGAGCATGGGTGTCAAAAGCCCATAGAACAGGGAAATTAGTTTGTCTGAAAGATCCTGCTTGTCTGCTCCCAGGGGGTCCTTGGATTTAGGCTTCCCATACATGAAGAGAATGGTCCCATAGAAAATTATCACCACCGTGAGGTGGGCAGAGCAGGTGGAGAAGGCCTTTCTCCTCCCCTCAGCTGAGGGGATCCTCAGGATGGTGGTGATTATAAAGATATAGGAGACAAAGATGAAAAGAACTGGGACCCCCAGGAAGATCACATTGGCCACCCCCATGCTGATCACATTCACAGAGATGTCAGCACAGGCCAACTTGAGAACGGCCAGGATCTCACAGATGAAGTGGTTGATGACATTGTCCCCACAGAAGGGCAGTTGTACTGCAAGAGAAATCTGTACCAAGGAGTTGGTCCCACCAGCCAACCAGGAGCCAGCAGCCATGGGCACATAGGCAGCCTTGCTCATGATCACAGGGTACCTCAGGGGGTTGCAGATGGCCACATAGCGATCAAACGCCATCATGCCCAGGAGCACGCACTGTGTGGCTCCCATGGCAAAGGAGAGAAACATCTGCACCGCACAGCCTGAGAAGGAGATGGTTTTCCTTGGGGTCAGGAAACCATCCAGGACCAGAGGAACTGAGGCAGTGGTGTAGCAGATGTCCAGGAAGGAGAGGTTCCCTAGGAAGAAGTACATGGGTGTGTGCAGGCGGGAGTCAGTCACAGTCACCAGGATGAGGACCCCATTGCCCAATAGGATCACCAGGTACATCACTAGGATGAGCACAAAGAAGGTTTTCTCCAATTTGGGGTGGGCCGAGAGTCCCAGCAAGACAAACTCTGTCACAGCAGACTGATTGGGAGCTTCCATATCAAGCTTTCTCTTTCATCCCTAGGGATATTAAAGGCAGAAAATACATAGTTTGGTTTTTTTTACATTATGCATGGGTCAATACACCGGGATCATGGGATGATATTCCCTACAACTGTAAAGAAATTTAACCTTTGGGATTCAAGTAGTAAAACCAAGTTACCTTAAAACCAGATAGTGTTTCACTCACAAGTATGAAAAACAGACCTTGGAAATATAATGAAATTTAATAAAATGGAATGTGTTTACATACCTAAATCAAAGCCATACGTTTACATAGGTGGTGTGTCTGTAGTGCTTTCTCTTTTTTTAATTTGATCATTTTATTGGGGGCTCCTACAACTCTTGTTACAAACCATACATCAATTGTATCTGACATATCTGTGCATCGTTCTTTTCTAGACATTTTTACTTTCCATTGAGCCCTTGGGATCAGCTCTTCTTTTTTCCCTCCCTCCCCTCTCGTGGCCCTCTGATAGAGTGTAGATTGTTAATTATTTTCAAATCTCACACAGACTGCTCTTTCCCTTCCCCTCTGGTTTCTGTTGTCCTTCCCCTGGCTGAGAGTATGTGGT